GCGCGCAATGGAGAATATCAGGCTGGGAAGAGAAGTGCCGGCCTTGTCTGATCCGAGGGGGTTAGAGGCCACTTGTCGGGCGCAGATGAGAGAGTATGAGCAAGCGAGGAGGGAGCTGCGGGGAGCGGTGGTGCCCGAGGTGGGTGACGAGCCGTGGATTGCTGGTGTGAAGGGGATTATGCAGACGGCGGCTCATCGACCATTTAGGGTTTGGGGGTATATCGGGTATCGTGTGTCGTATGAGCATTCTGATGAGGAGTGGAAGGCTTTTCTGGGGAAGTTTAAGGATGATGTTACGGCGTGGGGAGAGGGAGTTGATGGGGCTGGAGATGTGAAGCCTATGTGCAAAGTGCGGTGGATTGATGGACGCGAACATGGGATCCCCGAGGGCGACGTCGAGGCGGCGATGAGGTGAGTCTCTCTTCGTTGATTAGGGTAATGATATGAGGTTGTGATACTGACAAGTGGGCAGACACTATGAAGAGTACAGCAAGTCTCCGGCTTGCGAGGGCTTCATGACCCTCAGCGGAGGCGTCTTTCTGGTGGCAGACAAGCCATCCATTGATTCATACTTGCACCCGGTCAAGGATGAAGCGGAACCGATCATCCCCCGCGGTGACCTGAGACCTTTTGTCCTGCTAGCCAAGCCGGATGACGAGGATAGGGAGGACAGGGCCCCGCCAACGAGGGAGAGGAGGCCCTCTCGAGACGCAGCTGGAAGACCGACGATGAGGCGGGAGTGGAAGTTTGATGGCACTGTGAGGGTTCTCGGGGCGGTCTTGTTCGACGATGTTTGGGCTCTGTTGTCACGGAACTCGGTCAAGCTGCCGGATCTGGCAAAGATGGCGCTGGTTCATCCACGGCAGGTCTATGTTGGGCCAAGTGTGCCGTTGGAGAGGGACGGGTGGTGGACAGCGGGTGTTTGTGGGTTGACGGTGTTCAAGTCTTTTGAGAAGTGGAAGACGTCGTGAGGATCTGTCTCTTAGGCAATTTTGCGACGTTGTGTGGTCATTGGCTGGTAGATGGTAATGGGGAAACTTCCGCGGCCGCCCTGGTGAGCGGCAATGGGGGAGTTGCTTGAGATGTTATATCCATTGAAAGCCTTGTAATAAACAAATTTCCGTCTCCTTGAAAAGCCTTAGCTTTACTTCGATGCGTGTTACTTTAGATGAGGGCTGTTGTGAGAGCATGATAGATGGCGGGCTATGGGCGTTCACCGTGATGTCAAATGAGAGCGTGTTTTTTCTCGTAACCGATTGCGTTTCAGTGAGTCTGCATTGCCCTATACCGTGAAAGCGAATCAGTCATATCACGGTATCGCGAGAATACTCATCCCGCTCCGAGGTTTATAGGAAGTCTCGGACATGAAGCGTGCTCCAATCTAGCAGGCGTTGAAGGCTGTCCATCTCACAGGGATGACGCCTTCCTTAGGCTGCTGTAAGTTGCCACATTAGCAGTAAGCTTAAATGAAAGCCCCACCAGATTCAAGGCACAGGTGCCTGAACACAGACTCACCTGTCCACGTTCAAGCGCACAATTGGTGTAAGATGTACGGACTGCCGATCGAGTATCGATGGCAACCTGAGTCGTTTACTTTAACCGGAGAAAGATTATCTGAGATGGGGAACGAAGTCGCTTATTAACAAATTGTTGTAACAATTGTAACCGTTGCTCGCAAGAGCAGCGTAACTAAAGTAACAAGGGGCTACTTTGAGAAGCATCGGAAGGTATTGACAAGAATCTTTCTTCTTTATCTTCAATACCACACCTATATGTTACGTGCAACTCATGCTTATGAGTGAATACGAGGCCATATGCAGTTCGTCCGTGAGGGGAAGGCAAACAACGCTCATAATTTCGTGAGCCAATGTGAGCGGCATTGAAATGCTGAGGCGGACCTCGGCGATCAGGCGACACGCATGGCATTGAGCGACGGGGAGGATCCCAAAACTGTGACGGTAACCACTCGTACTTTGAACATCACGACAAATTCATTCATCTTGATGATATTTATCAAGTTTTATGAGCTTGCGCATAGGTACACGACCGACATCTTGGTCTTTTTGATTAGAGGCACCATGATGACCTCCAACAAATGGAATACGAACCGCATGGTTGAACTAGGCCAGTAAACCAAGAATCCTTCCCGGCGCTTGTATGGGATGGCCATTTTTAGGACGTGAGGAACTCCGCTGCTGCAGGCTACAGCACAGCCCCCGAGCTGGAGCTGACTGAGACCCTACCACCCACCCAAAAGACACTCAGTTAAGATCGTCCGTATCCCTTGGAACAAAAACCATCAGCGCTCCCGGCGACTTCGCAGTTTTGTCTGCCTGGTGGAATCTTCTCAAGGTTCTAGTGTCGATAGCTGCCAGTAACCACGTCGCCGGGAGCAAGACAAAGGGCTCAACGACATTAAACACAATATCCCGGCTGAGAGGATAGTCGCAGAAATGGATCATTCACCGGCGGAGCCATTCTCACCTGGTCCGGGGCAGCTCATGCGCCCGGTACTGCTTGCCTCAGCTTTCGTTTTCGCCCTCTTCGTCGCTCTCGTCCAGATCCTCACTATCACGGCCGGTACCTGGGTCATCCGCGATAGCAACGGCGCTCAACGTCTCGGGCTATCGAGTTTCGCCATCGTAGAGGTGAGCAAGAAAGGACCCTACGGGGGCCCGTCACAACAATCGAGTCAACGTCAACTAACCCCACAAACCCACAGTTCGACGGCATCATCCCATCGCAAACCAACCCAAACACCTACCTTGTAACAATGCACCAATTCGCCGCCTCCTTCGCCTATACCTACCCGTCCAAATCTCTCGCCGGCACCCTCGACTCATCCCCCCATCTCCCCTACGACCTCGGCGCCGTCGCACACGCCCTCCGCCTCCCCGAGTCCGAATGGGCATGCTACCACTTCGCCCAAGACGCCTGCCTCAACAACCCCTTCCTCAGCGCCTTTCGCAACTCATGGCTCATCCTGCCCACCGCGACAGCCAACCTAGCCCTTGTCTACGCGCTCGTCGTGGTATCCTACCTCTTCGTCACGGAGCTGCTCATCGCCGTGCGGCCGAGCTGGCTGCGGTGTCAGTGCTACTTCTCGTGCGTCAAGCGCGTGTGTCCGTGTCCGCGCGGGACGAGGGCGGAGATTGAGGGGTTGCCGGCGGTGTTTTGGGATCGGTATCGCGGGTGGTGCTGGTTTATGTTGCCGGCTGCGGCGTTTTTGCCGGCGTTTACGTTCGGAGGGAATGGGATGCTGCTGAAGGAGTATGTTAACCGGCCGAGAGGTCTGGAGGGGGATGTTCATGGGAGGTTTGGGACGGGATTTGTGGTTTTGCAGGCTCTGTGTTTTGCGGCTTCGGTTGCGGGGACTGGGTGTATGGTGTTGAGGAGGCGGTTGGGGATGAAGAAGAATTGGATGGAGGAGCAGGGATTTGGGTTGAAGAGAGGGGCTTGAGTCAGGTACTGGCGATACTCAAAGATAGAGAGAATGTGACGGTTTACTTCCGTCCGGTCGAATGAGGATATTGAACTCTGATCCGATCCGATGCCGCGCCGGTTCGGAAGAGAAACCGGAGCTCCTGGATGGAGTGTGGAGCCAGCAAACCGCAGATTGCCCACTTGGAGCCGGCAATGTGACGATCGGCACCGGTCCACAGCGCCAGATCCGATCCGATCTGATCTCTGCCACGCACAAAGCATGGGTTTGCTTGTCGCCGCGTAGTGTACGAGTATGCCGCCCTCTCGAGCACAAGTTCTTCTACTTGAACAGCCACACCATTTTGCACCAAGCCTCATCCCCAGCTCACAGACGGAAATGTCTCACTAGCTCATTCTCCAGAGAATGGGCTGCGACTAATCTGCGACTAACCCCATTGACGAATCATGGCCTCATCATTCAAGTTGGTCCCTGCCGATCGGGCTATGGAATGTCTGGTAGCTCCGCAAGCGTGGACCGTTCGCACCACATGCTGATGTCATTGCCCGCACGAGAAGCTGTCATCGATTTACGCCTCGCATGAGACACCATGGAGCGAATGAGCTGGTCTTTGGATGATGCCATGGACTCGTCACATGTAGCTGATCAAAACAAAGCTGAGCTCTGAGCTTGCCCTTTGATGCGAGCCTGAACGATTCCGTACTTACTTACCTTACCTTACCTTCGTTAACCCATCTGCAAAGGAATTTTGAGTATCTCATCTACACAAATTACAAGTCACACATCAAACAAATCTCCCAACATGTCCCGCCAAAACTACGCAGTCCCCTTAATGGGCGCCGCAGCACTCCTAGGAGGCGGAATCTACTACGTCCGCAAACCCTCCACAACCGCAGGCGACCCTGCCCAACAAATCGCAAACAATGCGGACAACTCCCGCCCATCTTCCGACGCAGTCGCAGAGCAGCGTAAGAAAGCCGCCGACGCGAAACGCGACAACGGTCTAGGCGGCGCAGGCATCGGCACCAACACGGGCGCCACGGGCGGCGCGGAGCTGAGCACCGGCAACCGAGGCGGCAGCAGCGCCGACCGCGATACTCCCAAGGGTCCCAAGGACAAGTTCCCCTCGGATGCTGGGGAGATTGGAGGCGGTCCTGGAAGGGCGAACTCGAATACTAGGGCAATTGAGACGCATGGTCCTTCTATGACGCCTGGTTCGAGTACATTGACGGGGGCGTTGACCGGAAAGAGTAATGGTCCTAGTACCTCTGGAAGCAGTGACAGCTCGGGAGAAGGGATTGGGTCCAAGATCCAAGGGTTCTTCACGGGTTCTAGCAAGGGGAATGAGAAGCCCAGGCAGTCTCCGGTTGATACCAAAATTGTGAGCCACTCGCCTGATACACCGACAAACCGTGGTGGAAGCCCTTGGGATAAGGAAAGGAGGGATGTTGTCAACCACAACCGCTCAGCAGAGTCATGAATTTTATATGACTACATATCTGTACCATAATCATCAGCATTGAGAGCGAGGTCATGGATTACCTCGTCAATCAAACTATCAAAACTTCGCACCAAGCTTCTTCTCGTCTGCCATCTGCTGCTCATCCACCACAATGACAGCCTTACCACTCATCTTGCCCGTATGCACAAGCTCAGTAAGTTCATGAATTCTATCCAACCCATGAAAGACATTCGTCTTGAGATTGATCCCATTCTTCGCAACATGCTCAACCAATCCAATGCTCTCCTCCCTCGAACACAGCAAACTCCCCTTAACCCTCACATCGCGAAACACCAACTCCTGGAACGGGATCTTCACCTCGTCAGGCTGCGCAATCTGCACCACGGTCCCATGCATCTTCGTCACCGCACACGCCAAAGCCGCAGCAGAATCCGCATCAGACAAGTTGAGCGTGGCATCAGCACCCTCCCCGCCATTCGCAGCATCCCGCGCCTCCTTAACGACATCCTCCTTGTCTCTTCTCGCGTCAAGAACCACATCCGCGCCGCTTGTCCTCGTCAACTCCAACCCTTCATCCCGCGCATCAATGCCAATGACGCGCAAGCCCAAAGTCTTGGCCATCTGAATCCCCAAATGGCCCAGCCCGCCTCCCGACCCGAGGATCGCAAGCCACTGGCCCTCCTTCAGCCCAGCCTGTACCACGCCCCTCCAGACCGTCCGTCCAGCACACGCCAGCGGCGCGGCACTGAGAAAAGAGACGGCCTCTGGGATCGGCACGGTAGACCGTGCATCCACCTTGACGTACTCCGCAAAGCACCCGTCTACGTGGACCCCGACGTGTCCTTCGATCTGACTGCAATATTGCCGAAAGGTCTCTGGTCCGCATGTACAGTCATAACATGAGCCGCAGGGGTGGAGCGGGAGACCGCACATGACCCTATCGCCTACTTTGAAGTTGAAGTCTGAAGATGCGGACGCGAAGCCGACGGCAACGACGGTGCCGGAGCCCTCGTGGGATGCGGTGCAGGGGAGGGATGTGCCGAAGATGCCGGAGGAGACCATGCTGTCTGTGTGGCAGTAGGATGCAACTGCGACTTTGACGAGGAGGTCGTGAGGGGCTAGAGAGGTTGGGGAGGGAACGGGAATGGATTGTATCTCGTAGGGGTTGTTGAAGGATGTTACGCGAATTGCTTTCATCGTTTTTGGGATCTCTGTGGCGGCCATCTTTGCGGGCTTGGGTGATTGTGATTCGATTGTATTGGTGGAATCTTGGGTGAAGATAATGATGTTTCTGGTTGTTTCGCGGTTGAATAATAAATGTGCTCTTCTGATGATGATTGATGAAGTCTTTGGTATGGTGTTGTCAAAGATGTGATGACGTCGAAGCCTTGAATGGTTTGTTTAGCTTCCCCCGCCGGATCCAAGGCGGTCCGAGGCCGACTATCCTGGGCTAAGGTAGGATGTCGGATCCAGTGGTTCACCATGGATTTGCCGAGTTTATGCTCTTGGAGAAATCGACGTCGCAACCTTAATTCTTCTGAACTGCGCACCGATGTAACATTATGCCATCAGATTGGTATGGGTAGTCAAAGGGACTGTTAACAATGTCATTGGCACCTGGATTGGCCAGATACTCGGACTATGCCCAACTCTGTAGGGAGATCATCGAGTCTTACGTTGATAAGCAATGCCGCGAAGCACGTGTCCGGAGCTCATCGATGATAATCGGGCGGGTCATCGAAAGGAGGTGATGGGGTAGGAAGTTAATCGTTCTTGCATGGTAGGGTGATAGAACATCGCAAGGCTGCAAAAGCATATTTATAGAATCATCACAACCTCAATGAAGAATCATTTCGAATTCATAGGTTGGAAGTAAAGACTGTGAGAAGGCGAGCATAAGTGTTTATGTGCATTGAGATATATATACGCTCAGTTCGAAGGAGCAATCGCCATCGACTCCGAACAAGACCCCTAGGGCCTAAAGTATGTGCATGAATCCAAGTGTTATATACTTGAGACAGGAGATTTGAACAAATGCCGAACAGGGAAGAAAAGTCCATTTATCGCAGAAGAGCGTGGACGGTGGAGTTGTAGGTGTCGACGCAACCGCCGAGGTAGGTCGACGTCAGAGAAGCAGTCGTGTTCTTGGCGAGCGCGGCAAGGGCAGTGGTGCCGCACTTGAGACCGAGGACGAAGGACTTGTGAATGGCGTCGGCGAGGAAGGGCGCGGTGTGTGTGTGGTCGTTGGGGTAGTTTGCGTTGGTGGTGGTCGCGCCGAGGCCCTTCATTGCCTGGGCGGCGTATTCGCCGTGCGGGACGAAGTAGTAGCCCTTGGAGGGGCCGCCGAGCTGCTCAACGGCCAGCCTAGTTCTTGGTGTAAGTCTCCAATCTGATGGCTATTTGGATGATCCAGGGAAAGGGGGCTTACCATGCGTAGTAGAAGAAGCGGTCGTATCCGAACTTGTAGGTGCCGGTCTCCCAGACGTTGTTGGGGGTCGCGGCGGCGATGATGACCTGCGAGATGAGTGTAAGCCAGATGCTCTTGTGAGATCAAAGATCTGGGTTGGTAATCATACCTTGGCGCCAGCAGCGTTGAACTTCTTGGCGGCGTTCTTGAGGTACGCAGGGTACGTGAGAACCGTCTCGGCAACGCCACTTCACAACGGTCAGTATTTTGTTCTTCTTCTTCTTCACAAACTCTGGGTAACCAGCAAAAGAACTCACTTGTAGGTAGTCGAGCAGGTCTGCGCACCATCACCAAAGCAATCCGTCCGTCCGTTGTCGGTAGGCGTAAGCGAGCCGCCGTCATTGTGTCCAAACTCAATCACAACCCAGTCGCCCGACTTGACGAGCCCGGCAACGGTGTCGAAGCGGCCCTCGCGAGTGTAGGAGCGCGCGCTGCGGCCGCCAATGGCGCGGTTGTCGACCTTGGCCTTGCTGGTCGAGAAGGAGTACTGCAGGAACTGGCCCCAACCCTCGGTGCCGGAGCCACCGCCGCCCTTGGCCGTGGTGCTGTCGCCGCAGAGGTAGATCGTCGGGACGGTCTGGCGCTTCTCGACGGACTCGGCGTCGGTGGGGAGGGCGGAGGCCAGGCCTAGGAAGCCGGCGACGAGGGCGATGTTGGCGCGCATTGTGTCGTTTTTTGAGAGAAGGACTGAGGGTGAGGTAAAGAGTGACTGGGTTCTTCGGACTGAGCGAAGGGATGTGTATGTGTCTCGTGAGAAGATGGGATGGAAAGCTTCAGACTGGAAGGGGAACGAATCTTTGCCTTATAGCTTATAGGAGAGCGGCTCTCAACTGACTCTTGACAAGCTTTCCGTCAGGGCCGGGATACGTGGGAAATCCCATCTTCCACCCAATATCGACTAGAGTCTAGTGCAACCCCTCGACCCCGGCTCATTTGTTTCCAACGATCGCCTATACGCCTCCTCAATATCGCCAATGTGGAAGAACACCAGTTAAACTCGACGAGGGTGGTTTCCACTCGTCCGGGTGCCCGGGTCCTCCCCTTCTCGGTCGAGTCCTGGGCGAGGTCACATCACGGGAAAGCGGCGGATTACTCCAGCGGTCGACCGCCGGGGGCCCGGTCCTCGTGGTGTGCCATATAGAGTAGACTTTCACGTTAGCGAGCGGCTGCAAGGCAAGGAAAAGACCAGCAATCAGATGAGCCGCAGGCTCGCAGCGGCACTTGAGGTCACATCGGGGCTCCTCTCCGCCCCGCACACGGAGGACGGCGGTGCTGCTTCGTTTCGAAAGGGGCCTGATGGCTGCATTCCTCGAATTTCCGTTGCTGGTTCATCTCTCTGGCTTCTGCTACACGGATGGACTACAAGTGAAAGACTGCTCAGATCGATTATCATTGAGTATACGTTGCTTGAATGCTTTTCAGAGTGCTCTCACGACATTGCTATTGAGCAGGAACCGAGCCGCTCACATGGCGTAAAGCTTCTGAACCACAGACATCCCTCACTCCTCTCCACTTACGGCTAACCGATGGCGCAATACAATTAATCTGGTTCAGTGGTTGCTGTGTGCCAGAAAGGGGCGTAGGAAGGGAGGGGGGGCTCTGTCTTTCGTGTTTCACGACGGCCGTCGTTGAGCAAGGGAAATCTCCGCCAATCGCGGGCTCTCGTCCTTGAAGTGGCCCGTCCTCAACATCGTGGAGCATTGGGAGTTGGGCCACCGACCACGCGGACTGAGGGCGGAGTATGGAGCTTCCAAGCTGGGATTTTCCCAGCGGAGAAGCCTTGCCCTTTTCGGCGACTAAATACGACCCGAGTCCGCCGTACGCAGCAAGTCGGATACTAAGGTAATATTAATGAAGAGGGGAGCAGTAACTCGTCCCCTCTTGTGGCCCGCGTTGAAGTGTCTGGTGCCTCGTGGGAAAGATGGCGCGAGGAAGTGAGGTTAGTAGGCCGAAGAGAAAAAGGGACTAAGCTGAGTCTGACCCCGCGTTGAAGTGCAGAACTTCTTCCCCTTTCGAACGGGTCAGCCGACGGGAGCGCTTGTAGGCTGGCTCAAAAGAGGTTGTGACGGCGGAACCATTCGCGCCGTGCACTGTCGGCCTTCTTCCTGATGTTCTATTCTTCCAGAATGACCCCAACGCAGTGGAAAGTTTGCCCAGACGCGGGCCCAAGACGGGATGCCGGCACTTGCTCTTGGGCTGCTTGCGCTGTACTGAGTGGAGGGGGCGGAAGCAAGATTTGCTGAACTCGTTTAAAAGACGGCTAACCAGATTTTCAAAGGGTTTGTGATCAGATGAACATGGCCGTCCTACCCGAGGTGGCTGCAGTCTGCTTATTGGTGCAAATTGTTCTCGGTGCAACGTCTGAAGGTGTCTCCAAGCTTTTGGGGAATCAGGGCAGGGGTGATCCTGAGGGTTGGCAAAGCTTAAACGAAGAGCGCGAGTCGAGGTATCTGTGCGGACTACTCCGTACTCGTGTTGCGCGCTGTTAGCGTGAAAGGTTGTCCTGGGAGAGAGAGAGACTGAGAGAGGGCCAGTCAGGATCTCGGACATATCATATGAGAAGGGGAGAGCTGGGGGCTTGGTGATGATTTTCCGTTAGTGTCTATGGTGTCATCTGTGCTCTCATCTTGTTGATATTTCTTATAAAGCAGACGAGGTCGATAGTCTGGTCTAGATGCTTGTCGCGATGCCTGGGTGGGAATTCGCATTCGGAAATTTGGTTACTTAAAAAGGTTGAAACTGGGGTAGGGCCCCCAGGGAGCTTAAAAGCAGATTGCAGGGTGAGCTGCGATGCGCTGCAGCGCCACGGGAATAAGAAATCCCTATGGGTTCGACTCACCTCGGTGAACCGGTGAGTTGTTGACTCGGTGACTGGGTCGGTCGGCGAGTCGGTGCGGACCCGGTGACCGGTATGGTGAATGGGCCTAGACCGAAAGCCGGCCGCTTTGCCGGGAGAATGGGCCAGGCTCCGGGGCTCCATACCCTAAGGTGCCATAGAGGCATTGGAACAAACGTAACCACCTTATAGAGAGGTTGCAGAAATCGAACCAAACCAGACTTGCGATGGGATCGACTTGAGTTGAGAATCTCGAAATGGTATCAAAAGGGTAGAGGTCTCCTCCCACCGTGCGCCAAGCGTATTCGCCAAGTTTTCGCTTGACGGTTTCTACATGCAAGATCTTCAGACCCCGGCATTGCGATTCAACTCCATGAATAATACCATGTGAAATGACATATGCATACAGATTAGGCGGCCCTTTGGCAGATAATACACAAAGATCGAGGGGAGAAGCTAGTCAAAGATAAGTTTGTCTGATCGTCTGAATGTATATGGCCCTCTGCATCCCTGCTAGTGTGCCGCATCTCCGGGTCGACCCCATAACCATGTTTTCGGGATCAATCATCCGTCAATCCTCAACACCTCCATCGTCTAGATACATGGGCAATATCTCACATTCACACACAGGAACTGCTGGCTGACGGATTCCGAGGCTGACTGGAATGCGCCTCCTCCAGTAAGGGGTCCTGCGGTTGCCAGGGATGCTCATCGCTGACATCTTCGGACTGGGGGCGGATTGCGGCTGGCGGAGCTGAATGCTTATCGGAATGCTCATTATTGGCCAGAATACGGCCACAGGAATTCTTGCAATGCGCCGAGAAAGGGGTGCCTGCATAATGGAGCTGATGGGACCATTCTTAAAGAATCCCGCGGTGCCAAACGAACGTTGGT